GGGTTGCTGCTACTCAGATGGCTAATGTGAAGATGGAAGACAATAATCATCAAGCATTGAATTTGTCAAGAAATTTTTTGGGCAGCCTTGGAAATGATCATCACCAATACTGGGGTAATAATGGTGGTGGTGGCAATGCTTGGACTGATCTTTCTGGTTTCACTACTTCTTCTTCCCCCAGCCATCTCTTATGAAGTTTGATCTTGATCATATGATCACTTTGATCTTCTCCAACTATATTAATTACAGGTTCCACAGAAGGAAAATGATCGAGTGCTACTGGCGAAGATATTAGAGTTTCAACCAACCTATTCCACCCTAACTTTTCATGAGTTTTCGAAGTTGAAGCCCGGAAATATATGTAAGATGAAATTTGAAGATGGAGTAATATCTCTTCATATTTTGTTGAAAGATTACCTTAGAAATGGTAGGCTTTCTAGTTTTGAAATTGTTTGTTTGTTTTTCCTTTTTATTGCTTTAGTCTTTGGGAGGGTTATGTCCAAAGTAGGTAGCTAGCTATGCTTGTAATTCATGTGGGAGAGTTGGAGCATCTGACATTTTGAAGGGCCAGATTGTCATAATATATCAAATATGAATGCTATGTGTACCAAGTTTCCTTCACATATTTTATGAAATTGTGTCCATCAAAGTTTTGTCTATTAATCTTTACTTATAAGCTAGCTATACTCATTAATTTCAGTGAAAGGCTGGACATTATTTCGAAAAATTGCCCACATTATCTCTGCCAGACTGCCAGAGGCAGAAGCAATTAATATATCAGTTTTCGTTTTCAGGCCACTGCAAGCACGCTTCTTTCTCTTACATAGTCTCTCAATTGTTGGGTCATTTCTGTTTGATATTTCTGGAACATGAAAGAGTAGTGTTCATTCAATCTCAATTTTTACCCCCACCCCCTTCGCTCAAAAAGTTTGTGCCCATACTTTAAATTTAGAGAGAGAGAGAGAGAGAGAGAGAGGAAAGTAGGGTTTAGTGAGTAGTGAATTAGAAGATGTATTTTTTTTGGTTGCTAGTGCGATGACCAGAATGATTATGCAATTATAAGAAATTGACCAAAACGAGACGACTTGTTTTTTCTGGTTGTGAACTCAGATTTAGATCGATGGACGATTTACAAAGAAGCAAAGAGAAACGCCAAAATCACACTCAAAACCATGCAAAAGAACAAGGATTCTTGGAATTTTGTTGCGAAAATATACTAACCTAAAGAGGGTATAGGACCATGCTACACAGAGTCCAAAAAGAATAAGAAAAAAACCAAAAAGAAGAAAAAAAAATTCGAGACCCTCTTAACATTTGTTTGGTTTTGGTCTTTCCTCTCCTTTCTAATCAAAGTAAATTAAAGTAAAAACAACAGTCATTATTGTTTTTGAGGTAATGGAATCTGGGTTTTGGATTTGCTTTTGCACTAACCAAGGTAGCTGTGTAAGCCTGCAATAAAACCGTCAAAAAAGCAACTCCATCTCTGTCGACTGTCTCACTAGAGCAACAGCAGTCAAGGTTGTTTTTTGTGGTTGGTCGTTGGTCGTTGGTCGTAGACAGTGATGTTTGAAATTTGTTTACAGGAGCTATAGTTAACTAGTTGTAAAACTTTTCTCGGTTTTAATTGAGTTAAAAGTATTATTTTAATTCAATATTAATAAAGCATCTAATCCAAAACTAACAAAATTGTTAAAGCCTATCCATCTGGGTCTTGAGGAAGAAGAAGAAGAAGAAAGAGCTCGGAAATCCAAGCTTTGGTTTAGTACATGAAATTAAGACTGGTCATGGCCACATCACATGTGATAGGCGTGAAGATGTTCTCTCTGTTTCCATGGCAGCTTTTCCTTTTGTGACGTCCTTGTCCCCGTCCTTGCTCTTCTTCTTAACTAACGCTCCCTCTCTATCTTTTCTCTCTGTCTGTGTCTGATGATATATATATATATATATATATTCATATACATGGACTGCAGGCACACGCACAGATTCCAATCTATGCTTCTAAAATTCTTGGATACAGGCCTCACGTTCTCCCACATGTGCTCAATCATATATGTGTTAGATTCCTGCTCACTTCTACATAGAATCTCAATAGTAAATATATAATTACAATATGCACGGATCCAACAAAACATAATTCTTACTCCTATTAATTAGGTATTATAGTAATAGTAGTAGGAGAATGCTACCCTACGTCAAGTTGTTCATGTATGTGTATGTCACTCATAACCGTTGATGAAACAGATCTAGTTTATATTGATTGTCCGTTTTGAAGTGCTTTTGAAAAGACTAAAAACGTAATACATGAAAGTGTTATAAGTCCCCCAAATTCAAATTTTCCTCGGAGTAAAAAAAAAAAAAAGATCATCGTGTAGTGTCGAATATGTCGCTTCTCTTAATTGTGAAGTATAGGCGCGTACATACAACTTACAAGGCCATCTCCAAGCAATAAGTTATGTATGGCCAAAAGAGGAAAATAAACAGAAACCCAATAGCTAGTAAAAGAATATTCGTTTTAGTTGTTTCTTATCTGCCTAAAAGCTTAACCAATGAGCTCGTATGTATGAGAGCACTTTCTTTTGGCGAATTATTAAAGAAGAAAGTGAAGTAATAAACTTATACATGCACGATGATGCTGAGCATAATTATGATGTTGATGATGTATAATATATACAATATATATTGCCTAGATATTTTCTTTCATACATAGTCTTTCGCATAATATTGAGGTGTAAGAAAGCAATTTGTGATTGATTGATATATCTTCCTCCCAGCTCTTTCTTTTATCATTACATCATCTACCATAAAATCATATGTGGAAGCTTGCGTAACCAAGCACTAAATCTCAATCAAAACTTCTTGTTTTGTTATCCTTCTTATATTATTGAACCTTTTTGGGTGGGGGGAGGGGGGGAGAGAGAGGGTGGTGGGGGGTGGTGGGGAAGGGGAGGAATGTTTGACTGGTCTCAGTGAGAGTGAGGGAAACTTAGCCTTTATAAAAGTAAGAGATGATGAGAGAATTTGGATATATGATTTTAACTTTATCATTTAACTTGTGTTCAGAAGATACACATACATGATTTACCTCTTTGGAATTTTGACTTTCTTTGGAATATATATTAGGGCAACTAATTGTACAGAAAAATTGGAGTTTTAATTTTGACATCTTTGCTCAAACACCCAAAGCATTACGCTTCCCGCAAATTTGGGCTCGATCAACCTATACGTGGCCTATGAGTTAGGTTACAATGAGGGGTAATTGTACGATTAAGTAAAGAGTTACTTTTGGATTATTGGATTGAAATCCCTCATTATAACCCCTCAATACAACCCATCATTACAAAAGCTCTGGAAAATTTAGTCCATTCCAAGTCCTAGTGACTTTTGACTTAAGCCACCAAAACTAGAGATCAACGATGTGTGTTTTTTAGTTTATAATAATATTATCACATGAATTGCGTTTTGAGTGGCCAACGCTAATATCCTTTTTGAATGTAAACGTGTTATAACATAAGAGGACCATGCAGAATCACAAATGTTAATATATTTTGTATTAATCCAACATTAGGGGCCTACTTTGCTTATCTTAATTGTGTCGTGTTTCACTTTAATCTTAAAGTTGTTGATTTAGTCATTCCCCATTGAGTTTTCTAGGTGCAAGGAAGATTTAGAACATCATCATTTTGTCTCATTAAACCAGCCATTCAACCTAGAAGAACTTAGGAAGGCCTCTGATAAATTTCTCTCCACTAGAACTCTACGCAGTCAAAGCTTGACAACGCGTTGGTAAAGTACCTTTATATATCGTCCAAAGATTCTTTCTTTCTCTCTACTTTACTCGTTTGGATCTTTACTTGCTAGTTAAGAGTTTATGGCTCATCTCATTCATTCTTATTGGTCTCAATCAAGCCTTGAACTAGCTAATATAATATTATATTAGCCCCATAATTGGAAGGGTGCAGTGTCTTATTACTTGAGACAGTTGCTTAAGAGCGGAGCTAATCATAGATTTTAAAAAGAAAAAAAAAAACTATAATTTTAAGCTTGTGACTCCCCAAACATAAAAATCTACCTCAGCTACTGCACTCTTGTCCTGTTATATGGTCTTTCATTTATGAAATGTACTTGGATTAACCCGGTTCGAAGAACGTCGAACCGGGTTTGTTATTCGGTCAGTACCCATTTCACTATATTTGGTATAGTTACTGTAGCTAGCTATATATATAACACGGGTCATGATTTCTAGCTCTTTCTGCAATGACAAGCCATTGATGAATATTAGTTAGATAGGGACGAGGAACTTCTACACATAATTAAGCATGCATGTTCTTAGAATTTTACACATGCAATATTTAATAATCCCGCAATACAGCGCCGCAATTTGGAGGAAGCAAGCAATCCATTTTTTTTCTTTTTTATCCAATGGCAAGCAATCCATCAGTTGATGTCCATTATTTTGTTAAACTTAATCAACTCAATATCTAGTCTCCATTATTTAAAAAAAAAACTTGGGCTGACAACGAATTACACCTAATCAATTCTGATTAAGATCACTGCCAAATCATATTATATATCCAAAACTTTGAGAACAATTTACACAACAGATCCTAAGCTAAGTAACGTTAATGCATGTAATTAATCTATCACAAGATGATGACATTATTCAAGAACGAAATTGCAAGCCACTTTCTGGCTACTAGTATTCTTACATTGCTGCGAAAGCTAAGTAATTTCAACCATAAATGAGTTGCAAAAACCTATATACGGCGAACGTGCAGTCCAATACAAATATGCACTTCATTTTATCAAGTCAATGAACTAGCAAATAGGCTCTTTGATCCTTCAATTAGCAGGGTCAACCACGTTTTTTGTCAAAGTAAACTCTCCTATAGTCGTAAATTATAAGGCCATTGACCTGCGCAATGACTTGGAAATGCATCGTTTATAAAAGGCTAGCATTTGCACCTATTTTCCAGTATACTTGAAGAAGACAATCGATCGAGATGGCTCAACAAGCAACTGCATCCTCAAGGATTGCATCTCTTATTTTGAGAATCTTTACCTTCATTCTCTTGTTGACATCACTTATTGTGCTTGCCACGAACTCCATAGGATCCAGCGATGATGACTCCAAAGTTCGTTTTACCGATTTTTATGCCTACCGGTAAGCAATCATAGTCGCGGTCGTGTGGTCTTTTTTCTTGTCTAATCATAGTTTGAAACGCTTAACTAATTATTTTGAATTGTAAAATTGGTGCAGATACATGCTTGCTACAATTGTCATCGGCAATGCATATAGTCTCTTGCAACTTGTACTCACAATCTTTAATATCGTACGCGGCGGGGATGGCATGCCCTTCCTTGACTTCTTTGGTGACAAGGTACATTTTTTCTTTTTTCTTTTTTAATTTTCGGCACACAAAGCTTCCCACAAGTTTTTGTTTTAATTTTTTATAATTTCCTCTTCTATTCTAGCAAACAAAACCCATGTCCATTGAGCCTGTGAGGCCCATTGGCCCAATAGGCAAAACCAAGGACAAATTTTAGCAAGGCTTTTAAAACATAGAGGTTCCTTGTGTTGGCTCATAAATAAAATTTTCATGTTACTCTCTGTCTAGGCATTCCTAGGATGATTTTTTTTTATTTTTTTTTTGGGATTTAATACAAAAACTTGAGTTGGGCATGCAGTTCATATCATACGTGCTAGCAACTGGTGCTGCTGCTGGGTTTGGTCTGACTGTAGGAAAAATTCTGGCGACTGGTCGCCCATTCCTGACGACCGGTCGCTCCAGTCGTGCTGTGATGCTTTGCTTACGTATTTTCAACTGTCTTTTCAATGGCTATCGCTTTCCACGAGTTTGCAGGTGCTTAATGGATCACTTCTGAGGTAAAAGAGGGTTGACTACCTGCTGGATAGTTGGGAGAGCACTCATGGCTAATTGGTTATCTTATTTTGAATAATCTCCTCTCCATTTTCTGGTTTAATGGAGGTGGCTGAGTGAGATTACTTTACCTACCTGATCTGACCCTTAGTCTAAGTGGTGATTAAAAGGAAAGAACGTGGAGGACAATCAGATATCCTATCTCTTGTCCATTGGCCTGTGTAGGTAATGGGATGAAGTAAGATAACACAAGGGAGAAAGAATGTTGAACAAATGTAGTGGCAAAAGCTGGAAACAAGTTAGAGTTTTTTTAGAGAGCTTTGTTCAGAAAAACCAAGGA